GATTAAAGAAAAAATACACGCAAAGGAAGCCATAGAATATGGGGTTTTTTTTAGAATTTTTGGTTTGAAAAAGAAGATTTTTTTTCTTCTTTTTGGAAATTTTTCTAGAAAATTCTTAGATTTAACCAATTTTTTTTTTTCTGATTCTAGTGACATTTGAATTTTTCAATGAGTTTTCCAAAATTCGGTTGAAGATCCCGATGAAGATTGAATTTTTCGACAAACTTTCAGTGACTCAACCTAGATTTTGGTGAGTTTTCTAAAATTCGATGAAGATTCAACCGGCATTCTTCGAGTTCTAAAAAGAGAGAGAGAAAAGAGAAAATGAGAAAAAGAGAGAAAAAAAATCTTATGGAAAAAGCAAGAACTTGGTCTTTTATATTACTACTAAATGATCTCGTTTTGGGCGTTTAAGAAACCTAATATCCATGTGCTTTCTAGTGGGTGACCCAACCCATAACGCTTAACCTATTTTCAACCTACGTCTTTGTCCTTGTCTCCAACCGAGCTCAGCTGCGTCGTTCCAGCAGCTTCCCTTGCCTACAATCAAGTCGAGTTGAGCCATTTTCCTGTTTTAGTTTTTATTTATTTATTTATTAAAATACTTTCTCATAATTAAATTTTTTTAAAAATTTTAAAAAATTGGAAAATATAAAAAAATAATTATTTTTGGAAACAAATACTAATTATCCAATGATAGAATTTTGAGAAATTTAAAATGGTAAATTTTTATAAAATTCTTAAGTGAAAATTTTTTTTCTAATTTAATCGCAAATGGTGGATGATTTAGATAAAGTTTCAATTATAATAATTAATATTTTGTTTCAATTTTTAAAAATAAAAAAATTAGTAAAAAATTTGAAATTAAATACTAATTACCCAATGATGAGATTTTTAGAAATTTCAAATGGTAAATTTCTTAAGAAATCCCTAGGTGAGAAATTTCTCTAAATTTGTCTCAAATGGTGGAATAATTTAGATGAAATTTCAATAAAAGTAATTGTATCATTTCCCAAATATAATGAGTTTTTTTAAATATTTGACAATTATCCAATGATGAGAATCTTAAAAATTTCAAATGGTAAATTCTCTAAGAAGTCTCTAACTAAGAAATTTCTTTAAGTTTGTCTCAAATTGTGGAAGAATTTAAATGAAACTTTAAAAAATAATTTTCATATTATTTTCTTTTCAAAGATACAAAAAAAATTAAATAGACCCAAATGACAAAAAATTTAGCAAATAAAAAAAAATCTAAATTGACCAAAATGATGGAAAATTTAGAAATGAAAAAATAAAAAATAAATTTCGAGGATGGAATTCTTAGTAATGGTAAATGGCTGATTATCTAAAAAATTTCTAAGTGATAAGATATTTCTAATTTTGGCCTAAATGGAGGATGAATTAGAAATATTTTCAAAATAAAAAAAATGACTGAACATTTTTCAGACGACAAAGCCTTTCAAGAAAACAAATAAGATTCTTAAATACTCTTGAGGTGATGAAGTATTTTTAAAAATTCTATTAGATTGATAGAGAAATCTTAGAAGTCATTTCCAATATTTAAACATTAAAATAAAAACCATTAAAACCAAGATAATTGTTAAGGTAATTTAAAATTAAATGGCACCATCTTAAGATGGGAGTTGTAGAAGTGTTATAACCTTCTCCATATATAATTAAACTCTCAAACCTAATTTTGTTTAGAAGGTCAGAACCTATTCGTTTAAAGACCCTTAGTCAAGCTTAAAAGCTACTTAAAAAAATAGATTCATTAGGTGACCAATTACACCTAGTTAAAAAAGATTGGTGGTGACTCTTTAGGTTAAGTCTAGCTATAACTTTTTGGATCTATATGTTATGACAAGAACCACAAACTGAAATCATAAATATAATCCACTTTCTTGTTCTTGAGCTTCCTAAGATAAAGTACAACTTAGCAAATGTCCCAAGTAATCAAATTTCATACTAAAAACTAGGATCAAAATCTAATTTTCTCTTTGCATTACTTTTTAAATTTACAAATGGCTTGAACTCAACTTTACTTGTAGCTGGGTACATCATACAAGAAATTTCCCAGAAAAGCCAAATAACTTTTTCAAGAACCCAAAAAATAAAAAATGAAAAACCCACAACCACACATTCTACATTAACAAAAAGCCAAAAAAGATTTATATTTAACTTAACACTCATTTATGTTGAAAGAAAAATGGGTCATTAGAACTTAGAAGTATCAAAGAATGGAAATTTGACAAAAGCAAATTACAATGAGAGCTGACAAATGAAGGACACTAACTTGACTAGGAGGAATTCAGAGAGAAAGTTTAATGCTTTGCGTACCAATGTAGCATTTTGGAATAAGCGAAGCTAACCTATTTAAGGAAGGATTTTTTTTTTTTTTGCTTAGAAGATATAAACAAAAACAAGTGTGATGTGTTGTTTTCTTTAGTGTGGATGAATGAGATGGCCAGATAGGGATGGTTTAGAGTTGAAAAAAAACATTGAAGCTTGAAAAACTAGCCATTTGAGCTTTTATAGGTATAGGGGATCAATTGGTTTTAATAGGGGATTGATTCTGTGTCTTACTCGATTGATCCCGTTTTGTAAAAGATCGATTCCTTTAAATGTTTTTCAAATATATTTTATTTCTGTAAGAAAAATCAATCGATCCAATGTAAAAGAAGGTCGATTGGTTTAGCTAGGGGATCAATCTTGTAACTTAGGAGATCAATCTGGTCGAGCTAGGTGGTTGTATCCTATTTTGCACTCTACTCACTAATTTGATCATATCTTGAATTATACAATTCCAAATAAAAAACTATTTGAAGATTTTGAAACTAAACTTTGTATACAAATTATAGTGAATTTTTAAAATTACCCATTGAGTAGTTTTTAGACGACTGCAAATTGTTTAGTAAAATGTCAAAATATTTTCTTGAAAAATTTGGATTTTAATTTTGTTTGATACATTAGAAAGTAGACTCAAGGAGCTTTTCGACAATATAAAATTCAAATATTAAAGCTTTGTGATAAAACAAGTTAAATGTTGGAAAACTTTGTTCTTGTAAAATAACTTTCTTAAGTTAATCTATTTCTCAAAGTCAATATTATCAAAATTGTATTGAGTACAAAATAAATAAGTTTACCTTAAAAACAACAATTGGACTTTCATTTGAACTTAAATAAATAATGTTTAAAGATAGTTTTAATTTTAGAACTAAGAAAAACATAAATAAAGTTTTGTTTAAACTTTGAAAATCAAATTATTTACTTAGTACCAAAATAGTAAAACTTAAGAACATGTACTAAATAAATATTTTTCAAAATCTTGATCAATTTTATTTAGGTTAATGTTTTGTCATTTCAAAATAAATATCAATTCAAAGCTAACGGCTCAAGATTGCATTAAGGCTTAGCACTAATTTAATTTCTTTTTGCATTAGTTATGGATGAGTTCACTAGATATATCCAAGACAATGTGCTATGGTGTCTATTATTTGTCAATGATATAATCTTAGTTGTTGAAAGTAATGATGATTTTAATGCGGAATTAGAATTAAGGAGGCATACACTAGAATCTTAAGGCTTTTAATTAAGTAGATCTAAAACTTAATAGATGAAATGTAAGTTTAGTAATTATATGAAAGCGAATGCTAGTGTGATTAAGTTGGATGGTAAGCTAGTACCAAAAAGTAGTCATTTTTTATATTTGGGATTAATAATTTAAAGTGATATTGAGATAGAAAAGGACGTAAAACATAAGATTCAAGTAAGATGAGTGTGGTAATGAAATACATCGTATGTGTTATGTGATCGTAACATGCATTTAAAGTTAAAAGTGAAGTTGTATAAAATAATTATAAGGGCTACGCTACTATATAAAATTGAGTGTTCGATTGTTAAGAAACAATAATTGAAGAGAGAGGGCCATTTGAAATGATTTGGATATGTGAAACACATGTCTATCTATGTACTAGCTAGGAGAAATGAGCTTTTAGATTTATGAAAGACCAAAATTTCTACATATAGGCTACCAACGACATGGAAACAAATAATAAGAAATTATAAGAAATTCAAGAAAGTAAATAAAATGTTATTTTTTATAGAAATGAATGGCATAAAAAGATTCAAAATTTTTGACCTAATATGATTCCTTTTTTTATCTTTCATACAATTAGTCTCAGAGTGGTAGGATATAAGATTTAGTTTGTTGTTGTGGTTGTAATGTTTTGAATAAAATTATCTCTTAATATAGTAATTGGAAAAAATACTTTTATGACATTCATTAGAAAATTTTAATTATTTAACTTTTTTTAATTTTAAGCATTTAAATTTAACTATTTAGATTTTAATCATCATAAGTAGTAATTAAGTTTTGAATAATTAAGTCATCAATTAAGTGAATATAGAATTGATATTGATATGAATTTTTTTTGTTGATGTATATAAAAAGCCTCTGAATTACAATTATATAAATATTCAAATTCATATCTTTTTATTACCATCAGTTGATTTTTCAAATATTTATTTTCATCCAATTGAGCTTTTAATGGAGAGAAAAAGGTTAATTGCCATCATCAATTTTCATTTAACTGAGAGTTCAGTTGACTAAAAAAAAATATTAAGGACTTAGTTGGATGAAAATAAATATTTGATGACTTCATTAATTATAACGAAAAGATAAGAGTTTGAATTTTTTTTATTTTTAGTTTAGAAATATTTTTTATATTCAAGCCTAATTTTTTTTTTGTTCTTTCCAAATCAATTCTTAGAATGGAAACTCTCTTTGCATATTGATATATATAATTTTTGAGCAACGTGCATTGATCAATGATTTTTTAACTTGTATGACTAATTATATATATAGTAATATATTTCAAGATTTTGCAAAAGAATTAATCACGATAGGACTATAAGCCAAAAAAAGAAGAAAGAAAAAGCCAATAAAGACAATTGGTATCAAAATTTTGAAATTATATAAATTATATATAAAAAAAAAAAGTTGTACATTAACATAATTCTAAAATGAGGCTAAAAGCATAACAGAGTAAAATATGCATGCCAAGGAGATGTTTTCTCCTTTTATTTTCAAGCAAACTTTACTCTATTAAGAAGTCAAAAAATGCTTTCCTTATTGTTTAATTAACATGGTTTATCGTTTCCTACTTATGAGCCAGCGGGATAGATGTTCCGGCAGGGGCGGAGCATGCAGACGGGTTCTGTTTGCCCGTAAGTTTGGGACTGACATTCGAACAGTAGGATATTGCGGGTCCTTCAGGTCCTTTGTATGTAAGATCAATGTCAGCGAGCTCCACACCCTCGCATGGCAAACCGCTGCTGCAAATAAGCTTGACAGCTTGCTGAGTTGAAGATGTGCCTCGAATGTTCTTGAAACTGATGTTGCTGAGTTTAATACGTGATGGAATCTGGATAAACAAAATAATGCTTTAAATATTGAGTAAAGCTTTTCATTTGATCAGTATTTTGATAAATACGTACCTTTAAATCACATTGATTCCACGGGCAATATTCTTGATCAATAAGGATAGGATTGCCGACGTTATTCATGGTAATATCTTCAAAATGCATGTCCGATGCAGAGCCAGGATAGGAGGCTGGCCAACTTTTGATTCTAACACCATTCATTGTATTACTGATGGTGCACTTCGAGACTTTAATTCCAGAAACTGGTTCCTCACCTTGGAACTTTCCAAGACTGCCGATGCTGATACCATGACCTGGCCCACAGGTTACTCCTTGGACGACCACATTCTTGCTACCATCACCGATAGAAACACAATCATCACCAGTTTTTATGTCTGTGTCAATAACATTCACCCCATCTGATCGACCAATGTGAATTCCATCTGTGTTCAGACTGTTTTCTGGTGCAGAGACGGTGAAATGTTGGAAAGTGATGTTTTTGCATCCCAAAACATTAACGTTAAACTGTTTGCTGTCTTTGGTTGTTATATCTTGTATCATGGCATTGCTCACAAAATTGAACCTTAAGTTCTGTTTAGTTTGAGAGTGGAATAAAGTAACACAAGAAATAATTTTTGTTAGTGACATTACTTTCTACTAGTGTAATAAAATGGGTAAAACATATTATATTTAAAAACTAGGAAGCAGAACGTTGTACATAAAAAAACTTAATTATTCATTGAGTACTCCTCATCTATAATAAAAGCATTTAGATTTGATAGTTGTTCAATGTGATATTATAAAAAACAAAAGAAAAAAATATTTTTCTTTAATTTGAGGAAATCTAAATAGAGTTTTAGAAAGAAATTCGATTTCTTGCACAAGGAAAGAAACCTTACAATGGGAAGTGCGGCACAATATTTGTTTTTAGAACAATCATTCTTGCCCCAAGCAGCGGCTCCTTGGCCGTCAAAAACTCCACCACCAGACATTGTAAATTGTTCAAGTTTGTTAAAGACGACCCAGTTAGGGTCCTTGAAAGCGCTAGGATCAGCCGGAGCCTTCACAGTGCCCTGAACTTGAAGCTCAATAGGACCCTTGCAGGGACCTTCTAGGGTTGCTTTACTTAATAAGTATGTCCCTTTAGGAATCACAATTTTAGATGGAGTAGTGGAAGCACATGCTTCTTTCCAAGCATCTAACAATGGCTAAGGCAAAAAAAAAAAAAAAGATATCATTAAAATAAAATTTTATATATTTCATAGTTGGAAAATAAAATTGAGTGTATTTTTGCTTACCTGACTCAAATCCGTCTTCTCATCAGCCTTTGCGCCATACTTGGCAACTACATCAAAAACACCTGATTGAGCTTTAGCAGTTGAAGTGAACAAAAGCAATAATACTGATACGACTGTAATACTCAATTGTACATCCATATTTTTCCTTTCCCAAGTATTTGAATTTCTTCTTTTCAATTTTTAAATGGTGAATTGTTGTGAAGGAACAATGATTTTGCTTTTGTTTTGTTTCAAACCATTTTATATAGAATACTTGGAAAGCTACAACCAACCAATTTTTAACCGAATGCTTTCTAATTTTAGCAACGTGAGTAACATATGGTCTTAATTTACTTACTATTTTTAGCTCTTTTTTTTTATATCTACCTGATTGGATATGTGTAATCTGCAGTTTACCACATATTTTAATTAAATTATATTTACGACTTTCGCGACCTTTTTATTATTAACATTCTTTAACTAACCGAGCTAACAAATCATATGTTGTTTGAATTAATGCTTTAACTTTTAAAAGTATTATACTTTTTTTTATTTTATTTCCAGAGTCCCAATCTGATTGACTGATATACTATTTGTGCAAATAAACGCCACTTCATTCGTCGTTATCATAAATAACCTTTGTGTGCAAGATTAAGCAAATTGATAGCTCCGATCCATTTGTTAATTCTCAATTTGGTGGCCATGCTAGTGAAAATATTTGTTGCAGCGTAATAATTTTGGTTGGTTGTCGTCATCAGTATATCAGCATGAGTTTTGAGTAGGGTAAGACAATATGAGCTTAGGTTCTGTTTATTTAGTAGAAAATAACTTTTGAAAACTAATTTTAAGAAATATTTATATTTTTTAAATTGAAAAAGATCTTTATTGTTTGGATAAATTAATAAAAAATATTTTTCATCATTTGATTATATTTTGAAAAATATGTTTTTTTTTTCAAATAATATTAATATAACTATTAAAATATTAAAAATTATTTATTATTGAAATATATTGAAATGATTTATTATTAAAATTATTAATATTAAAAAATATTTATATTTTAAAATAATATTTAATATTAAAATATTGTATTAATATAAAAAATACTTAAAATAAAACTATTTATTATTCTTTATATTATTTATTCATATACTATAATATTATTTCTTAATATTATTTATTAATATATTATATTGATAGTATATTATTTATTAATAATATCTTATTTATTCATGTAGTATTGTAATATTTATTAATTAAATTAATAATTTTTTAATATATTATTTATTAATATATTATAATATTATTTATTGATATATTGTATTAATATATTATGATTTTATTTATTAATATTAATATATTCGTATATATTTATTTATAATAATATTTATTAAGATATTATTTATTAAGATTTTTATTAATATATTATATTAATATAATATTATTTATATTTATTTATTAACATTGTGTATCTACATCATTTTCATATAGGGAATAGTTGTCATATATTAGTTATTGATAAATTAGAACTTGTACTAATGTAAAATGATAGTTATGTGACAAATAGTAGTCCATTCCATTCATGCATGAAAATACTAAACATAAAGCATAGCATTTCTAATAATAAAGCAATTGCGGTACTCATGGTTCAAGAATAGTTCCACCGTGCAAGAACCCCACATAATCAACTCACCAATGCAATAAAAGAGCTTGAACCAAACAAATAGAACAAGAGAATTCAATCGTCTTAAGAAGATAGAGAGAGTTCAAGAAAAGCTTGAAAGGGAGTTGAATAAGATTTTGGAGTTTTTGAATAAGTTGAACAAGAGGAAGAATGTAGAAGAGAATACTAATAGTAGGACCATCCATCACAAGAGATAGCCGACCCTCTTTACCTTTCTGATTTTGGGCTGTACCAAGCCCAGTCCACACAGGAATAGCGATTTACATACCTTATAAGGTATATATACCTCGAAATATAATCAACTTCAAATCCAAGGTATTGCCAAAGCTTTATAAATCTTGTCTTTACTGAAAAGGCAATATAATTAATTCAAGTCCCTGATCTGGATGCTCCAAAAAAAATTTAAAACCAAAATGCGATGAGTCACTGAGGGACTTAATAGCTAACAAAAAGATGCGTATGCTCGAGGAAAGGTTATGAGTAGTAGAAGAATTGGTTTTTATGGTTTCGTGGATGCTGCTGGGCTCTGTTTAATCCCAAATGTTGTTATTCCTTCAAAATTCAAGGTATCGGAGTTTGAAAAATATAATGGTACAAAATGCTCAAAAACCCACATCACCATATGTTACCTAAAGATGGACACCTATGCTAATAATAAAAAGCTGTTAATACATTTATTTCAAGATAGCCTTACTAGTTTTGTTGCTAGGTGGTATGTCTAACTGGATAGGACATGTATTCCATCGTGGAGTGAAATGGCCTGTAACTTCATCAGTCAGTATCAATATACCATAGATTTAGCTTATGATCATCTATGTTTACAAAATATGAAAAAGAAGGCAATTAAATCATTTAAGAAGTATGCCCAAAGGTGTAGGGACATAACTACTCAAGTTCAGCCACCTTTGACTGAGAAAGATACCATAGTGTTATTTGTAAGAACTTTAAAATCTCCCTATTATGGAAAGATGATGGAGAATGCAACGAAAAACTTCACTGATATTGTGATTTCAAGAGAAATTATTGAAAATGCCATTAAGAGTGACAAGCTTTAGGAAGGAGAAAGTATAAAAAATGGAGGGTTACTTAAAAAAAAAAAAAAACTAAAGCCCAAATTGTGAATTTTGATAGGCAACAATTCAGAAGTGATGCTCTATATCCACCACCTATTTATCCTGTTTACTATCCCACGTTATGGTATTGCGCAGGCCCTTTACCAACCATATCCACAATCAACTTACCTATCAATCAACTTTTCAAGTACTTGCATATGGGTCTGATGATATCACTACATCAGCTTCAAAGCCTAATAACCAAGCAAGTGGTTTAAGAAGATCTTATAATAACCATGAAAGGGCTCATATTGATCCTATCCTTATAACTTCATTGAATTATTCTCAGAACTGGTAAAAAATGACTTGATATCTTTAGTTATTCTAGAGCCATTGAAGCTACCCTATCTAAAATGGTATGATGCTAATGTCACATGCGATTATCATAATAAGAACGTGGGTCATTTTATTAAAACTTACCATGTTTTCAAACACAAGGTGGAAAGTTTGATCCAGAAAGGCCAGGTGAGCTTCGGCGAATCAAAAGGCAAGATGTCAATAAAAATCCTTTACCTTGATCACACAGTGACATAATTTTGAGATGAAAAAGGATGTTAAGGCTGGTTAGATGTTGCTTATCATTTTGGGATTTCTTTTAAAAGTAATGTTAAGATTTTTTTATGTAATAAGATTTCATTTTTTATCATTTTAATAAAAGGCAAGCATGATGCATCTCATTACATTTTCTCATTCATCCCAACCACTATTCCATGCTTAGGTTTTTCACATGTCTTTTTATTTCCATTCTTAAATTTCAAATAATGAATGTTTAGACAATGATAATAATGATTCTAGGATTTAATTTTGAAAACTCATTCAAATTGATCTATGGAGACTATTTAATCAAAAGAAATAAACTGCTAGCAGATATGAAATAGAGATGTTTTGAAGATATACAGTCTTTATAATGATCCATGAGTTTATCTTTGTTTAATAGATAATCTTCAAAGAAAGCATTCACGTTTAAGATGAAAAATGATTATTTTTCTTTTACCATTCATAAAACTATCCATTCGTAACTCTTTTGAGCCTATTAGGATTTCTTTTTCTGAAGAACCCAACCAAAGATCACCTTCCATATTAGGGGATAAATTATGAGAAGAACATACTTGAAAAAGGAAAAAGGTAAAAGATCACAAATGTCTCAAAGATAAAAAAAAAAATGAATGCCAAAATGAGTTAAGGCAAAGTAATGAGAATCTTTTTGTAAGAAATAAAATGAAAAAAAAAGAAAAAAAGCAGTAAAATGATGTGAAATGACGTAAAATGACCAGTTGCATTAAATAATGAGAAATGATCCTTTAGTTTTAAACCCTTTAAGCATATGTTTTGAGCCTGTTTTATCTATTTCTTTCATGATCCCTCACCATAGCTTACATTACAACCTTTAAAAGTCTATTTTGATCAAATGTGAATGCTTAAATTAAATTATTATATGTTGGGCTAAGGCATGCTTATGATGGAACAATAGAATTGTGTTATGTTATTTTAGAGATTGATGTGTGAGAGATATCATTAATGGATGAAAAAATTGAAAAAAAAAAGAATGAAAAATGAAGAGAGATGAAAAAAAGAAAAAAATGAGAGATGAAAAAAATAGAAAAAATGTAAAAAAAAAAAGACTCGAATTGAAAACTAAAACGGTGATTTGGATAAAAAAAACCCTCTAAGCTAAGAGTTGGATAGACAATTCAAATATATAGAAGATCAAAAACATCTGAGATCCTTCAAAGTTGGGGCAAAGTTCAATGAGATCAAAACAATTTAAAAAGTCAATGGAATGAGCTTTTGAAAAAGAATTTTATATTAATGTTAAGAATTATCTAAGTATTCAATGTTTAGACATTGTAGTACCATTCAATACCAACCCTAGTGATATGCTTCGAATTTGTTCTTTTACCCTGTTTATTTTTTTTACTAGACTTATTCTTGTATTGATTACATTTCTCCCAATTCACCTTGTACTTCTTATTTTTGCATCCCCAGAATAAATTGAGAAAATATGTGATTACATTATATTTGTCAAGAACTGAAATGATAATGAATGAATGATAATATTTGGAAATTATATTTTCATTCCTTTGAAGAAAAATCCAAGATGATAAAGGCAAAAAAAAAATTATGGATGAAACCTAAAAAGGTGATTTGAAAGGACACATAGGTTGACCAAGTGATAAATATAGTAATGGATCAATCGACATAACCTATGAGTTGTGATCAAATGATGGAAATAATATGGATCAGTAGACAAAATTTGTTCTGAAATTGTTAGTGCTGAGAAGCTTGTGAGTTGTGATCAAATGATGAAAATAATGTGGATCAAGTGACGAAATTTGTTCTAAAATTATTAGTGCCGAGATGCT